TTTGTCTTACAAAATCAACTGTCCACCTTCTAATTGATCAGCTAAAATCTACGCCTAAATGGTAAGCCTGATGTGGAAAAATTAAAACACAATTTTCTACAGACTTACAAGTACAGCAAAATAATTCTCCAATGTAAAATTATTCTGTCCTTTATAAAGATTGATCACATCTTAACTCTAATCTATCAGTCCTACTCTCTTCTAATTATTATTATAAAGACAATAAAGTTTTATTAACAGAAATTTAATTTTTAAAAAATCAAGGAAATTAAAAGCATTCTCTGATCTACTGTCTCAAATAGATTATATGCTTTGTTAATTTGTTAAATTTTGGTATATTTTGTTCTCATATTTTTCTTTGTAATGTTCTTTTTTCTGAATATAAAGTAATTATTTATAAAAATACTAATATGCCAAAATATGCAAGAACAAAAAAAAAAAACACTAGAAAATTCACCTTTGAAGTAAGTCACTGACCCAGATTTATTTTAAGACAGTGTCCTCAACCTTTCTGGTTCCAGAGACCACAGTGTGGAAGACAATTATTCCATGAAATAGAAAACTGAGGGGGGATGGTATTGGCATGATGCAAGTGCATTATATTTATTATGTCCTTTATTTCTATGTTATTATAGTATAATAAAGGAGGTTTTGAGAATGAATTTGCAGTTTCTCCCCAGACCTATCATCACCACCTCCGCTCCACCTGACATCAACAGGTATTATATGCTTATAAGGAGCACACAACCTAGATCCCTCACATGGGCAGTTCACAATAAGGTTTGCTCTCTTAGGAGAATTTAATCCTGCTACTAATCTGACAGTAGCAGGATCTAACAGGATGGGGAACAGCTATAAAGACAGATAAGGCTTCACTTGTTCACTGAACACTCACCTTCTCTCGCACAGCCCAGTTCCTAACAGGGATTGGTGGCCACTGCTTTAAGGTGACCACCCTTTCTGTTGTCTCTCTACCCATGACACATACTAACTGGTGTATTTTGAACACATCCAAGTAGGTGACATACAGTAGTTAGATAGTCAACATTTTAACTCAAATATTTATAATCACTATTTCTTCTATTATAATTTTTCATAACTACAATTATGTGATGTTATGGAAAAATAGGATGTTAATATTTCATATTTATTATAGTAAGTGACACACATATTTCCATTAATCCCCCTAAAATACTCCCACTCACATTTTTAATTTTTTTTTATATATTTAGTAGTCTACATGGTCTCACTACAGAGATCAGACTCATAGTGATCCTTCTGTTTTCAGTCTCCCAAGTGCTGGGATTACAGGCATACACCACCACACCCACGCCCAGTCTTAATCTCAGCATACCCCAGAGGTGGGGCCAGCACAGCATGCTGGAGATTGAACCCCGGTCCTAGTCCACATTAATGTTTTTAAATTTTTATTTAAAATGTTTTAAATAAAATATATTTCTCATGTTCTGCTAAGCCTCAAAAAGCCTTAAGGACTGACAAAACAGAGCTGTGGTTATCACAGGGAGTCATATTAGGCAGGAGTGAGGGAACATGAGAACTAAACAATTGGAAGGTCCAAGCTCCTAGCTTTAGTGATTTTATTATTCTAACCTTAAAAAAGAAAATCAAAGTGCCAAAACTAGCTTCGGTAATTATAAATCAATATATGATGCCGTGAGTTTATTCTCCATGTGAGCTGGTCACAGTCAGTTTTATCTACTGGCCATAGCCAACCTCTAGCATCACATGACTGACCAGTGGATTCACTGACAGAACAGGTGGAAAAGCACAACACAAGTTCATCACACACACACACACACACACACACACACACACCCATCCCAGTGCAGAACACAAAGACATGCCTTACTGGATGACGGAGGGTTAACAGAAGGACCTTTACTAAGAAAAACACAGAGGCCAATATTTACAGGGCTGCTTCTCATTAATAATGAACATTGGACTATATTTTCTTAAAAAGCAAAACTTTCACGTGTGCCCTACCTCAGCACCCATCTAAGGTACAATGGTGTTACTACGATGTACCAACTGCCCTGATACAGATCAGCTTAACTTCCTGGGATGGCTCCTCAAATGCAAGGAGGGAGAACAAAGGCAATCAACTCCTTAAGGTTGTTGTACAGATTATATAAAAGGCTTAGACCAGTGGCTCACTAGGAAGTTCCTTTGGGGTGCTGGCTACTACTGTTAGGACCACTACATTACTACTCTGCTGTGACTACTATTTCCACTTCCTGCCCTGACTGATCATATTTAAATTGGGTTCTTTAGAATAAAGCAAAGGACTCAGGAGGCTGTAGTCATGTGAGCACCGAGAATGTAATAGGACCTCAGTCTCTGCAATTCTTCTGGGAAGATAATATTTATGTCAATTCTAAAACAATGCACTTCCAGGGTGGATGACCTCACACTATCCTCTATGTTCTGACACATAAGCATAACACCTTGAGTGAGCAGGGTTAAAGAAAAGAATTGTGGAGGGGCTGAGGAGATAGCTCAGTAGAATAAATGCTTGCCTGGCAAGTGCAAGGTCCTGAGTTTGATCCCTGGTACCACCAAAAAAAAAAAAAAAAAAAAAAAAAAAAAAAAAAAAAAAAAAAAATCTGTGGAGTTGGGCATAGAAAAGGCAGGGTTGTTGTAATCACTGAATGCAGCTGGCAAGACAAAGCTACATATGACCAATGACAATTCCAAGACAATAGACATGGGAGTGATGCTAGGTGTGGCTGAAACCAGCTGATCGAGGAAAACTGTTCAAGGTTCAGCAGTCAGAAAACCTGCCTCTCATAGCGCAGCTGCCCCCACTCTCTCATTTCTTTCCCCAGAGTCCTTAACTTCCACTGCCATTCACTTTTCCCAGTGGCTCTGGCATGGACCAATGCAAGCGGAAATAGTTCGCCTGAGGATCTGTCTCTAACTTTGAAACTCAGATTCATTTTAAAAGAAAATTGGCATCATACCTCCAGGTGATGCGTTAGGTTCATAAGCCACCCGAGATCTGTGCGCATCCAGAGTGCTTTGAATACCAACAAGAAAGCATATAGAATAAAAGCTAACCAAAGCTCTGATTGAAATTCAGCGATATACTGAATAGGCAAAATGTCCATCTCTGCTTCATTTGAGCCAAAATACAGAGATGTAATGATGCTAAACCAGTTCATCAGGATGATGCCAAGAACTGCTGAGTGTGCTCCAACCTAAACTGGGAACAGTCTAGGTATTTAGATTATGTTCAACAGTCTTGGACATTTGATCTTAAGTTTATAGATCTTGAATATGTTTCTGTTTAGCCTTTTGTTCTCGTGTTCAGAGAAAACTTACTTTAATGTGTATATCTCTGGGAAAACCCCTAAAATCTGTTTCTTAGGGAGTTTCTTATTCTATTTTTTGCTCCCCTGATTTTATCAGGGGTATTCTGTTTCACTACCACCATGTCTAGATGAAAAATCTATGAAGCTGCCAGGAATCCAGAAACTGTGGAAGCTATTTGTAGGAGCTATTTAAGATTTTAGCTGCATCCATTCAACAATAACAAGTAATCAGTAGGCAAATCATCTTACTATTTTTCTTTAAACTCATCAGACAGTTGCAATCAAGGTTAACAAGTATCCTCCTTAATATTTAAATTAATAGCATACAACAATTAATAATCACATAACAGTACACATATATGCAGTAATAGTGTATAGGTTATATTTAAAGCATAGCAAGGACCCAGCAATATTTGGACTTTTTGGAAAACCAAAATAGACTAATGGATTCACTATTAAAGAAAATGTGCAGAAACAGTGGTGATACTAGAACTGTACAGTTCTCTTTGGGGTATACAGTAAAATTCTATAAACCTGAAACAGCACACAGTCATAACTTTACAACTTCAGACTCAGCACAGACAGGAAATGGGATTCTTAAAGCTTGGCATATGATATCAGAGATTTTTTTTTTTTTTAACTTAGGAGAACAAGAAAGAACAGGCCCTTTCTGATGCACTGTACTATTTCCCAATGGGGGGAACAAGAAAAAAAAAATAAAAGAGCAAAGCACAAGCATATTAGCACATTCTCAAACACTAGCATATCCTGGAACCAAAGCATGCTTACCATAACATTAAAACATGAGAGACTGTACTTCATAAAGTGTTGCAAACTTTAAGACTTCATCAAACTGAACCACGCTTACAGAACAACTTTATGGGATTATTATGGTGGTAAATTAACAAAGGCAAAATTGAGGAAGACACTCTCTTAATATTTAATTTTATGGGCATAGTTTCTTTATTACTCTTAACACTGCTTCCATGTTTACAAGCCACACTCCACTTGTACAGTCCTTTTTTCTTATGGAATACTCTATTCTGAGGAGTCCTTTGCTAATCAAAATAATGATACTAAAACAATGGATTTTTTTTTTTTCTGTTTAACACACCTGTATACCCTGCCTAAAGGGATTGTTATGCAGGTATTTTATGAGACATTTGAGAAACATACCTGTTTTCTAGGAGATTAAATTGATATCTGATTCATTGTAGGGACAGGGAGTAGGCCCGAGGGACATCGTACAGCAGACAAGTGAGCAAAATTGGCCAAACAGAACAGGGCAAACTGGGGTGCAGCATGCTGCTGCTTAATGTTCAAGAAAATAAAGTCAATCAGGCATAAAATCATAGTTACACCTAGAAGATTTAATGGGAGGATACAAAGAAAGGAATTCCAAAAGAGGAACTGAAAATGCTTACAAACAAATACAAACTTCGGGAACTGTGAGTTCTACAAGGCTGTCTTTTCCTTCTGGCTCCCACTTGCATTATTGATAAACAATGTACACATTATTAAAGAAGCCATAACCCCCCACCTCCACGGGACCAATAAAGTCACATTATCTTCTAAAAGAACACGGCAACTGATAGTCACTCTTCTGCCTGTCATGAGCACAGAAAGAAAACCTGACAAATGCAATAGAAAGTTCAAAATGGTATGCACTAACCTGGTGCCCCTGTGAAAGCAGTCGCTTCATAGTGAGGTAACAACGAAAGAATCCTTACGATGAGACTTCTCCAGAGCAGCTGAGGTCCAGGTGGGAGGGCTGGGGATTGATTACCCTGAGAATCCGCATAAACAGGTCCTGCTCCCAGCTCAGTTTTGGCCTCCTCCCCAAAGGCAACTTCAGTCAGCCAAGCCCACAAAGCACTTCAGCCTATAAGCTTCAGAAATGAACTTGAAGCCACTCCCCATATGTTAAGTAGACAGAGTACAGTGAGAAATAAAACCCACATGCAGAAGGAGCTAAGGGTTTGGACTTCATTTTCCAACTTGCTGTTCAAGAAAACCACAGTACAAACTTAAACAAAGAGGGCTCTCACTCCCCTCTTACCCCTCAAACACTGTATTTAAAAGTGACTGATTCACTTTTAAACAAGGGGAATACAGTTAGCTTCTATCAGGGTCATGAAATGACTCTTACATGGCTGCCCAAGCCGGGTTGGGGGTCACGGAACATACAGCACTATAATTTCATGCTGAATAAGACAGACAGAGAAAGTGATTGTTTCTGAGAACCAAACACACAAACTACCACTGCTTTCAGGCATTTGTATGAAATTAAATAATCTGAAAACTTCATTAATCACTGAAATCAAAAAATTGCTATATGTTCAAAAGGAAATTTAACAAAAGAGTCATCCAACGTCTAATCCTGAGTTGGTATCTGTAAATCTTGCAAATCACAATACTGTTGCATCATTTACATTTCGGACCCATTTATATGAGTTTTTTTAAAAAGATCATTTTAAATTGATCTTTTAGTTGCCTCCTGAAATGGTATCATCCACGGCCATACAACCCTGAATGCACCCGATCTCGTCTGAAATAGTATCATACTAAAATATTACCATGTACTACAATTTCAAAGTAAGGAATTTAAATGTAGTTTTCTTTCTTAAAAAAAAATGTAAAATTGACAGTTTTCTTCAGGCAGTTAAATCCTAAAGCATAATCAATAATGTTCCAAAAAACTGCTTAGGAAAGAATAAGAATTCATGCTTGAGTAAGAATCCATTCTTGGCTTTTTAATATAATATGCTCACATTAGATACAATTTTACCCCAATTTTCTGCTTGAAGAACAGTTTAAATTCAAATGACTTCTTTCTACGTTGTCTATTTGTTTTATAAGACCTGTTTAAATATAAAGGTTCAGGTTTCCTTACTTTACTATTTCTTGTGAATCATAAGATTGGACCAAATATATCAATAAAAAAAAACATATTTACTTGTTGCCAACTAGATTTACATGCATTTCTGGTAAAAATTCAAGTTACTCAAAAATCTATAAAGCATGAACCATTAGCATATCAGTTCAATGTTAGGCAGGAAAATCCCAGAGAATAGCTTCGCGTAACACCCACCATGCCCATCTCCCTCCAGACTCCAGGTCAGGGCTCAACAGTTTCTTCCAGGGTCACTTTAGAAGAAGGTGTGGAGGGACAGATTGGAATGGAGGTAGGAGGTGACAAACAGAGCAGCGAGGAAAGAATCCTCATGGTCTGACTTTAAAAAGAGCCAGTACCCCACCTGCTGGTAAAACTAAGAGAAGGCTGAGGTTTAGAATAAACTTCAAGAGAAATATTACTACTTGGATGACAGAAGAAAAACTGAGACAATAAACTAAGAACACACTAAGACACAAGTGAAATATGGTTAAAACTCACTAAAAATGTTTCCCCTGCAAAGGTAGAATATTTCTAGAGGATATGAAAATGTTCATGAAAATAAAAAGTAGGGGCTGGAGATATAGCCCAGAGGCACAGGGTCTGCCTGGCAAATGTGAGGTCCTGAGTTCAATTCCTGGAACCGCCCCCACAAAAGAGAAAAGTAATTAAGTTCAAAACCATCTTTTTTATATGGATCTGGTTTATATGCATATATAAAGATTCACCATCTAAAGAAATCATTTGATAAATAATATTAATCTCTCTTTCGTCAAAACAACTACAAGAAAAATTCTTGAGTTCAACATGATCTTTGGAATTAAAGAAATATGAATAAATCTCCAACTCAGCTAGCAACTAGTGGGACTGTGTCTATATCATTGTGTTAAAAGCCTCTATTCCCTGGATTTTGTATCTTTCTGTCAAAGTTAGTTCCTTTTTCTCACATAAATTAAATTTACTAGGGCCTGGGGAGATAGCTTAGGCAAGCGCTGGGTCCTGAGTTCAATCCCCAGTACTGCAAAATTAATTAATTAATTAATTAATTAACTAAAATCAAGATCTGACATCAACTTAATGAAGATAAACAAAATTAAACACTGGACCCTAAATCATGCTACACTCTTAAATAAAACCCCAGCAAAAATAAAACTATAATAGTACATGACTTCCACATAAGCCCAAACCGCTTAACTGGGATGAAACTAAAAAGAATAGGGACAGGTATTATTTAAGCTCTTAGTATGAGGCAGGAATTGTCCTACAGAGCTTTGTAAACATCGACTCATCTAAGCCTCACCGTCCAATTCTTACACCAGGTTTACATAGGAGAAAACTAAGTAGTCTGAGGGTAAGTACCTCGGCATGGTCAAAAAGTTGAGCGCAGAGCCAGACTTAGAGCCCAAGTCACTCCTCCCAGTCATGTATGGCCGGCCCACTGTACACCATCTGTGGGGTCACCCAAACTCCAGTGGGAGATACTAGATGGAAAAATGTCTGTTCTTAACCTGTACAGAGTTTGTCTGGTCATTACTCCCAAACAGTTACTGCTTAACTGTATCACCTCTATTATACTGCATAATAGTTGTTATAAAGTAAGTGAAATGCTATGTAATAAGTTTTAAATTATACTAGACATTATAAGTATTTATTTTGAGGTACTTGGAATTGAACTTAGGACCCTGCACTTGACAGGCAGGTGCTTGGCATTATAAGTAATCTAGAGACAATCTAAAGTATTTGGGAAGATGTGTGTAGATCATGGACAAACACTATACTATTTTAATTTATTTTACTTTAATTTATTTTATTGTCACATCAGGAAGGTTAACAGAAATCACCAAGAGATTCTAATCATGACAGTGACCAAAGGAGCATGCTGAAAAGATAAGGAAGAGAAACTAGGTTGGTCAGGTAAGCAGAAATTCAGAGATATCCCAAATAAAGGGAAAAACAGGCACAGTAATGCTTTATAAGGCCCACGTGTACCCTCACAAATTGCACCGATGAGGCCAGACAGTAACCCTGGGGCAGCTCCTCTAGCTCCACAGAAAACCAGGCTTGGGCCCGCATGACCACAGCACAGCACTTGCTAATGTCGCTCACAGAGCAAGGATCGCAGGGAGAAGAGCTGGGCTGGACGAGGCCTTTGGCTTTGAGAGGCTGGGTTGGAGGCCCAGGGACACAGTGAGGGTGGGTGCGGAGGCCCCAAGAGGCCTATTGAGCACTAGTCCTGCACCCAGAGGTGGGAGGTGCACACAAGGAGGAACAGGCTCAGGAGGGTGACAGACTTTGTCCTGAAGAATGCACAACAAAGGAAAGGTTAGGGTTTTAAGGCAACTGGTTTTGACAATCTTAGAGAGTATTCAGGATGTAGGTGGGGAAATGTTTACTTTTATTTTTATGAAACTCTAATTGAAATTTAGCATTTTCTTCTATTATAAATGAAGGCAGGCACATGCAACAAAATTGGTGTGACTAACAGAAGTCAAAGGTATTATCCTGCCTCCTTGTAGTTATTGCAAATACCTCAGTATCATTTCCACTCACGGTTACTTCAAATTTATAGTAGTTATTAGAACTGCCACTAGACCATGATTTGTAGCACTTTTTAACAACGGAGGTGTATTCCGGTGTTACATATTTACTTCTTAGCACAGTTATGACTGTGTGTAAGTACAGTAAGTGTTTTTGGTGATCTTGAGCATTTTAGTCTTACTCAATCTTTTGTAAACATTGTTCTTCTGTTAAGAAATGCCTTAGCGACATTAGAATGCCAATGAGATCCCCACGTCACACAAAAAACATCTGATTCAAGGTAAGAGACAAACAGCAACCAGAAGATTGCTTAAAATGGCATTGAGAAAAGCAGAATCATACTAGGAGATAACACCAGTGTTTAACTCCAGGATTCAAACCCAGGCCTTCTAACCTGCTTTCTCTCCTACCCCAGACTCCACACCATCGAATAATAAAAACAGCAAGTGCTTCATTTGTGTAAACAAATGCCTCACCTGTAACAAACGCCTCACCTGTAACCACTCATTAGTGACCAGAGTAGGAGAAGCCAGGTGCCCCATCCCCGAGTCCTCAGCATGCAAGCCCTCTAAGAAGACAGCACTGGCCCAGTCTCGGGCACATCACGACATCTGTCACCCACTCTGACATGATCAAGGGAGAGCCGGCCCTGTGACCACACCAGCTAGAACCCCACCCAGGGCAGAAGGCACCGCAGGACCAGAGCCAAGCGACTGGACCTTGCTTGGCTTCAGGCTTCTATTTGTGGGCAAGGTTTACACAACTGAACTGGATTCATCAGTCAAAGCTTTTATTTTGTTCTGATTGGTGATCCAGGATGAACTAGAAGATTTACAATACCTCAACTTTTCAATTTTCCATCGTCTATAACTAAAACAGAAGCTTTTGCTTTAGCAATTAGTTTGAAATTAAATGGAGCTGGTGACACAATGGTTCTTTGTTCTCTTCTCTGCGCCCACCAGTGTCACTCATTATTTAATCTGTGACACGTGTTGCTTGGGCTGTGTTAATGACAATGGCGTCTATTGTCTTCCCATCCATTCCCTATTCTGCAACATCTGCCATGGCTTGTATCTATATATTTTTTTCTCCTCCTTTCATAGTTATTTCCTTATTACAAATTGCTATGAAATCTAATCCTCTGAAACATAATATGTTGAAATTTAACAATTACAAAACACCTAACGTGTATGCTTGGGCACCCTTTTGGATAACTGTAACTTAAAACATAGAGATTTCAGCACATTTTTTCACAATTCTGGCTAGATAACTTTTTTTTTTAATAATTTGGTCAAACTACTTGGTCCCTTCCCATGTATTGCATGATTTCCTTTTACACAATGAGAACTTAGTTTTCTATAATTTGCCTGACCCAATATGCTCTCATGAAAAAC